TGACATCATCTATCGGATCCTCCTATTACACACCGATCCTGGTAATCATGACTAGTTTCAGTAACAGTAAGTTCACTAATAATAGTCACAGATTTCTTCAACAAACTTCGTGGAATAGTACATACAACAGAAACCGAATAACGCGTTTAAACGTTCGCGAACAGCGACACCGAACTGATTCAGCTGTTAGCCAAAGACCACTGACAGACAGGACTCTTATCGCGTATCGCGAGAGTGTTATGTCCACCGTTCTTTTATGTAGCTAACGTGAGTGCTAACTGTACGTGTACACTCTGGTGCAATGTCGACTACCTTTCAGAACAATTGTTCAGGAAGAATTTGCTTGGAAAAAGAGTTTTAGTTTGAATTTTGGGAGATTGAGGATTTTCTACCCTTTTAATTTCCACCCTTCCAAATTTCTATGATCACAAATTCCTAAGTTACCAAATTTCCACCCTCCCAAATTTCTACGCTCCCAAATTCCTAAATTACCAAATTTCCACCCTCCCAAATTTCTACGCTCCCAAATTCCTAAATTCCCAAATTCCTAAATCCCCAAATTTCTACTCTCCCAAATTCCTAAATTACCAAATTTCTACGCTCCCAAATTCCTAAATCCCCAAATCCCTAAATTACCAAATTTTTATGCTCCCAAATTCCTAAATCCCTAAATTACCAAATTTCTACCCTCCCAAATTCCTAAATCCCCAAATCCCCAATTCCCTAAACCCCCAAATCCCTAAACCCCCAAATCCCCAAATCCCTAAATCCCCAAATTCCAAAACGCCCTAAACTCCAAATCACCCTAACTCCCTAAAAACCCCAAATCCCCTATTTCCCCATAATCCCAAAACAGTGACCGAAAAATAATTTTGTAATTTCGAAGAGAAAACAAAGAATCGACGATTTGATAAAAATAATTTTCCGTTCGTTATGAAAGAATAAAAGATAATATCTGTTAGATATTGTTGATGAAACCCTTGGAGGTTTCTCTGGTTCCAGCATGGCGCATCCAGCGTACTTCCGGTTTCTATCTCGTGTTTCCTATTCGCGATGCGAATAAACTCGTACGGTACCCATTGCATACGAAGCTGAACGATGAAAGTTAATACAAGTGAAAATTAGTTTAATTCTGTTGTTATCGCAAATATTAAGGAAGTTGGTGAATTTATAAATAAAATTAGTTTATCATGCACGCAAACGCGTGGTCGTTTCTTTTGTGTACTTTCTCTTGTAAATTGTATAATTATGAGTGAACGAAAGTGAAGTAGGGTGCAAATAATGCTTTGTTGAACAACTGTTGTTATAATTAAAATAATTATATTTATATAATTAAAATAATGAAATGTTACTTTGAGAGTTTTATCTGGGAAGATTTATTTTTATGAAACTTTGTATTAGTTGATTTTATTTGGCACAATAAACAAGACTATAATAATAATTTTTGTTAATACTATACTTTAGTAATTATACTTTATAATTTAATTTTAATTATGGAGAATTATATGTGCACTTGAATTGTGATGTATTAATTCAAGTACTAATTAATATTTTAATTTATAATTTATTTTAAAGTAAACTTATAATTATAGTATAATTATGCTTCATAATATTGTGTTCACAAAAAAATTTTATCTAGTAATTATAATATATGAATTTTATATTAATTTATGAGATAATATATTTATAATATAATTTATAAAATTTAGTTATAGAAATTGAACAATTATAGAATTGTACAATTATAGAAATTTGTTGAATAACATAACAAATAAAAATAATACGACGAATTCATTCGTCATAACGTCATCACCATTTCTGCCAGATATCACGCTCGTAGTACGTCGTGCAAAAATATGACATAATCGTCGGCAATTTTGCTTTTGAGTCGCAATCATTTTTTTCGACGAAGAACAATATTCTTGATATCGACGTTTAATGCGAATTTATCTCGAGCGGTATAAAGGTCCGCTGTGTTATCGCGATATCTCTGGAGTTAATTAAAGCAATGACTGTCGCGCGTGGTGTATTGAAAATATCGAGAACATCGTCAATATTCTGTGAGCAAACTTAATTTTCTAATATTACAAACTTTCAAAAATGTGTAAAACTTCTGTTTGAATTTTCTTGTTTAATTAAAGTTAGAATGTTTAAAAATTTATAACTTTGTGGAGATTCTAAATTTTATACAAATCATGAAATTCTGTATCCTACATTTTATAGAAATTCTAAAAATCCTAAAAATCTAAGAAATCCTAAAAATGATAAAAATCTTAAAAGTTCAAAAATTCTAAAAATCTTAAAAATACCAAAAGTTCTAAAAATTCTGAAAACCCTAAAAATACCAAAAATTCAAAAAATTCTAAAAATCCTGAAAATCCTAAAAATACTAAAAATTCTAAAAATTCTAAAAATCCTGAAAATCCTAAAAGTCCTAAAAATCTTAAAAATTAAAAAATAGATCTACGTATTAGGTACGTCTCATCATACTTCCGGAGTGTTTCGTTTCTTGTTATAGTAATCGAACGTGTCAACGATTCCGTGTATTTACACATTACATCAGAACCTGCGAATTGGTACCATAAAAAATTTATTTGCACGAGTGACGTATCTCATGACATCAGATCACTCAAAGGCTTAAGTGACTCAATTTCAACAGGAATTAAACTACATGTCTTATTTGCAGCTTAACTGTAAGTTCTTACAGTAGAAAATTTAATAACTACTAGTTTAATAACTGTTAGTTAGTTGAAAATTAATATTTACACCTAAACAATAAACAGTTTTCATATTTTCGCATAAATGCATATTTTACATTTGAAAATGAATAGCTCATTTTTATACGCGTCTACTATAAGAATAAATTATCCTTGATCGCTATCTTGATCACGAAATCAACCTAAATGTCTGTCACGGTTGTCTAACCTATCGATTAACATATGCAAATATCATTCTAACGTTGTGCACACTACAGGATATTCTCGCTAAAAAAAAACCATCATGGCTCGCGTTCAATTATATAATTACATCGCAATTTGTATACGAATGATCGAGTAGGAAGTCGAAAACGATGTACACGTGACACCTGATCGTTTAAATTCATAAAAACATCTCTAATGACTGGTACCAGTTTGTAGCGTCTTAAATGATTTGAAAGCATTAAGCATCCGATAAGACATAATGTAAAGTAGCTTATACTAACTTAAAATATCCCCTAACCTAATTAATACTTCACAGGGTGAAAGGGGGTGAAATTTCGAACCGAAAGTTCCTTTATCAATTTTTTATTGGACCATTATTTACGGAGTTATTCACCATTAAAGTTGACCAATCAGAAGACGCCTGGATATGCAGGGCCGTAGTACGTCACACGGGGCACCGCGCGTAATTCAAAATTTGCAAACTGAAGATTAACGATTCGTCGCTGCTTTTTCAATTTGAAAATAAATTAAAATTTTCAAGAATACTTATTTAAATTTACCTTTAAAATTTAAGATAAATTTAAAAACTTATAAAAACCTGATATACAGTCATGTATAAAAAAGCATGTTAAGCCACCAAAACAGAAGAGAGCAGCCAGCGACCAAATATAGGCGTGTCGTCATATCATTTGAACTTGCTAGACCTTGTCACATCCTCTTTTTTTCCGACGACCATGTGTACACATGTGTGAGTACATGAATGTATGTCCGGACTATCAGTGTCAATAGTGCGTCGGTGTCTCTTTCCATCCGACTCTCGGACGAGCCTCGATAATAATACGGTTCAGATTTCACCTGGTCTTCTGCACAGTCTCGGCCCTCTCTTTCCGTTCGCCGTATTTCCGGGGCAATTTCGAACTTCCTGTACATCGACCTTTTTCTAACACTATCGAGCAGTCTGTCCTCCTCTTCGTTCTCGATTCGGTCGTTCCCAGGCCGTTGAAAGATTTCTGGTCTCGCGACTTTTACGATTGGTTGGTTTCCATGTAAGTAGTAAAATCGAATACACTGGCGATTTACATAACCGCGAAACAGAGAATATTCCAACGAGCGGTAATCTATTTAGTCGGAGGACAGTTGGATTATCCGGATGACATCATTGGTTTCTCGGAAGTTTGCACATGTGGTCGACATTTAATTTCAATTTCGCAGCGACACGATGCTTTAACTATGACGCCAATAGCGCGCGAACGGTGAGAAGGATCACTTCCGGTAGGTTCGCTCTATTTCTATTGAGACGTGATCGGACACTAAACGATTTCATTAGAAGCGATAAATTGTTTGAAATTTGAAGCTCATTAACTTCTAAGAAAAGAAAGTTTCTATATTGAACAGTGACGTATCTTTCGAAACAGTAAAACGAGTACTTCGAGTCCTGAATGAAAAATATAACTTTCACACAATGACTCTTTTATTACGAGCTTCTCATAACCGTTCTCGATCATTTAAGTAACAACGATCTCAGTGTTGTCTGCAGGAAAACACTTATTACGATAATCGCGAAACGAGAAGTAATTACCTTTCACGATCACCCATAACGTGTCACTGACGCTTATGATTTAACGAAGGAGATAATTATTTAAATAACTGCTTCTTTTTAATCCGAAAACACTCGTTTATCGTGATTTCCATTCCGCGACCTTAGAAACAGATACATACGTAATGGCATAATGTAAGCCGTTGCTTAATCTGTTTTGTGAAAGTTATAATTTAACGTCCGGTAGGAAATCAAGTGATTCACCTGTATCATGCAATTAAAGGCGATATTCGTACATTACTCCCTGGAATGATTTCATCGAAATGTGGTAAAAATGTCGTATCTTCTTGTTTAAAAAATTTCACAGTTCTTTACTATGTATCCTATATCCCACACTGTATGCATTATAACCTGTACACCTAGCCATTACAGAGGACACAACCGAACGAAACGTGTTATTTTATAGAAAATGTACGCCATTCAGTCCTGAACATCCCGGTGGGTCGTATTCTGATTTTACACGACAGTGTAGTTTGCGGTACCTTTTGTAAGTTGCACGTTAATAGTCCTGCACTCCCACGCGCTACATTAGGCCCCCTTCATTGTCGACTCGGACGGTCGAATTTGCGAGAAAATTTACATCGGCGATATAAATACAATGGAGACGATGGAAGTGGGTGATTTGAATTTCGATGAACGGCGGGCTTTCTTGCCGAACAAAAGTTGCCAAAACTTAGATGGCAAGTAGAGGGAGTTTTTGTTGAGGTTATGTTAACTACCGATTCGAAAAAATTTGGATACAACTTCTAAACAATGATAAGTATACTTTGGAACGATTTGTTGTCTTCATATAAAGAGCATCCGTGATCTTTTGAATGTTTTATTTTGCAGTTTACTTTTTTATTTCGGATCTTTTAATTTGACGGCTTAACGCTAGAGGGCAGTAAAAACGGAATATGCTGCGCGCTTCGATTAGCGCTCTGTTTTGTTTTGGATGGACTTCAAACATTTAAAAGGAAGAACAATTGAATTTCGTTTAAAGTAAGTTTAACTTGCGAAACTGTTGATTGAATGATTCTATTTTATACGTATTTATGAACAGAGATGTCAATCATGAAAGTAAATAACCTAACCTGTACGTTAAAAGAATTTATTAAACAGCAACTATGTTTGAACCAAAGAAACATAATGATTTATCTGAATTTTAATTAACTGATTGCATAGTCTATTAAAGCTGGTAAGTTAAACATACTTGTTTCTTGGAAAACTGTGTTAATGTTTATATTCATGTAACTGAATGACTCTTTGTTATATCGCTGAACTTGTGTGATTAATTGGCATGTCGCAAGTAGGAATGTTACAAGTGGGTCAAGACTATCTAAAAATAGTGCTTGATTCTTACTCATTCCTGAGTTATTACAATGTTTATTACAAGACATTGTTTTTGAACGTTTAATGTTTATAGATATGTCTGGGAAAAGGAAAAAGTTACACATGTTGCTGCTGAATTAGGTGTAGGAACATCTACCATCTTTGACTGGAAAAAAAAAAACAGAAAGGATGCTGAAGATTTTTGTGCTAAGATGGTACATTGAAGAAGTTGAAAACGGCATTCCTATACCAGGGCCTGCTTTGACAAAAAAGGCTCTTAGCCTCAACAAGATGTTAGGTTGTGATAATACTTTTACTACAAGCACAGGGTGATTAGGAAGATGAAAAGCATGCCATGGTATAAAACTTAATTTTAATAGTCCACAGCAATTAGTGTTCAAGGACAAGGATGAGTCAGAATGTTTATTGATACTAGATGACAATGAAACTTGAAGCTCTATTGATAATAGATGCAATCATGAATCAACAAATGTGAGTCACTTTCAAACATCTCTGTTTGAAGGAAGCAACATTAGAAAATGAACTAACAACTCTAAGGTATTTGCATGTTGGTTTATTGAAGAGTCTCAAACAAGGAGAACCTATGACTGTTAAATATTTCTTGCTGGCGTATAGATTATGTAAATATTTTATCTGCAAGTCTTTCGAGATAAATAAAACATGTAAATAAATGCTGTAACTGTCTAACCAACAGCTTCATAAAATTTAGATAAGTAAAATTTGGTTGCATAAAGTAAGGGAATATTTCCATTCAGGTTATTTCTGCGAATGCTCAATCTCTGTAATCAAATTTATTGCTGTTTACTGATTTTGCAAAGTAGGTAACCTGTGACCCCAAGACCAGACATGAATCATTTAACACTATTATCTTATCTCAATGTATTTTTACATGTTTTCACTCAATTATAATGTTCTCTTTTACATCGATTACCATATTAACAGCATTTCTGAGAATATTTCTTATTCTAATTTCATCTTTCTCTTTTATGAACAGATTTGAAGAGATGTAAGAAATTTTATAAAATAAAGAAATGATTGAAAGTTCAACTCTCTCTTCGCAAAGCATCATTGTAAAAAGAAATGCACTTATTCCACTTTTCCCTTGTTAATTCGAAGTGTAATAACGGATAATTTGAAGGAAATCTTACATCCTGTACCATCTAATCGACATTGCGCGATCAAGCCGTTTTCAATGAGCCGACGTTGCATACGTTGATCGCCGTCCAATTATCCCGCCAGAAGCTGTTTAATCGATTCGATAATAATTTAACAAGCCTACCAAGCGAATATCCTCTTTTTGTCATGCATACCATTGGTTACACATGGAGGAGTTTGTTTGAAATTTGAAGGTTCACTAATTAGAAATCAGATGCATGAAAAATTGGAAACTTGAAGGTTAGGAAATTCAGCATTAAAGGTTTGAAAAATTATAAATTTTAAAACTAGAAATTTGTAGAGATAATTGGAAAATAGAAAAAATGGAATACGGAAAAAATTGAGAGCACGTGAGTTCACATTAAACGATTGAATATATGACATTCGAATTTTTTCTTTTTTCCCGCGCGAACGACGGAATGCGGACCGCGTCCTAAACCAAGGATACATCTCGGAATCGCGTTGATTCCAGTTTCCGCTTCGTCGCTCAGATTCGCTCCGTGAATCCTAGGAAGCTTGCCTCTCTAACGGACCATTGAATTTCAGCAAAATTGTGCACGCTCCGTGGCGAGGAAACTTCGCGATCGATGGTGGAGCAACCGTTAGATTCTAGAGATACCAAGGTTCCACGGTTCTCTCGCTCGACTATCGCGATCCATTTCTCGGTACTTTTCCAAAAATATACGCGTTCACATTATGTAAATCTCAAGTAGCCATAACTTCGTCGTCATCTTGAAACTACTTCAACCCATAATGGCCGAAGAGGTTTTTTGGAGACCCTTAATACTGAAGAGGTTACGAAGCTCTCTCGTGGTGAAACGTAACGGTGAAAAGTGAAACGGAAAGCTAGGTCGGTATAATTTGTTCAGTTCAATTACATAGAAGGCAGTTCGAATTGATAATAGAATCGTTTCACCTGGCTAGACTCGAGTGAAATTCCTGGCAAAACTATTGACCAAAATGGCTGTCTCTTTTTTATGTTCCTGTTCGATGGTCGACAAGAAAATTACGACTAACGGCACCTCAAGAAAATCAACAATAAAAAATGCTCATCGAGGCTTCTCCAATTGATAGCAGGCTCCTCGGGTATTGCACGGATCTCGCTGGTTCTTTTGCATTCCCAAGTTTTATCTTTGAAATTTATGGCCAAGAACGGGCATTGAATAATGATTTCACGCTAGCGGGTCAAATATGCGAGATAGCGGCGTTACGTTGGACCAATCGAGAACTATTTTATTCCTTTATCTTATCGTTGCTCCTGCATTAATTACACGTAATCTTAAGCGACACGGCCGGCTATTTGCTTGCTCGATCGCTCGGCTCTTCTTATCGTTTGGCAATAATTTTCACCTTATCGCATTATTTTTTTTTCAGAGATGAACACTGTCTCGTGTACAGGAATTTGTGAACACATTGTTCTTATTTGACCCTTCAAATTTTTTATTTTTAATAAAATTTTAATTTTGTAGGTAATTATGGTGTTTTTCGAGACGGGCTATAATGCATTCGGCAACGAGTGGCGTCGTGACGTCAGAGGCGTAGAAAGTTGACAAGAAAAATCTACATTCCTGCATGCGTTCTGGCAGTTTTACATTCACCGTCGTGCCGGACCCGTCTACTAGAAGAGTCCTACCGCGTGTACGCGCCAGATAAAACTCCGTTCCTTCATATCGTATTCCGTGTACGCGTCCTGAGAGGTCACGTATGCAGGACTAACAACTAATTACGTCGGTCAGATGTCTTTTGGAGATGTACGACGAAAAATCAACCCCTCGTGACTCGTTTAGGTTAACTGCCACGCGCCTCAAGTGCCCCTCCTCCGGTCACGTAAACAAAAACATCGAAAATCTCAAGTTTCAGTTTCCTTTCTAAATTGCAAAGTTCCTGGAATGCTCAGCGTCCCAACATTTTACCCATAATAGTTTCACTTGTAACGCGCGTGGCGACGCAATTTTTTTCTCCCGTGGACGTAAATCCACGATTGACGGAACGCGGGAGTCGCGTTGAGCCTTGAAGTCTGTAACCGGAGTCGCTCGTCCGCTCGTCTTGGGTTCCAGGACTCGCCAAGGATCTTTCTCTTTCTCTCTTCCCCGATTCCTTGTCCTTTGCGTGGCTGTCTCAACGGAGAAATGGTGGGAAGCGATGGGAGGGAAAGAGGGGGCTTCCAGAGCGGTCCAGCAACTCCCCAGAAAACGTGTGTGGGGCGCATGCGCCGCGAACACGCATGAGAAACTTACGTTTCGTTAGTAGTACTACAACTAACGTTGTATAGCGAGGGATAGCTATGAATGATAACTGTAACAGTTTTATTCGATAACATAATTATATTCTGCCTGCATCGCGAGATTAGATTTGCATATCGATCTTTAACTTCGAGGAAACGATGTTATAGAAAACGAAAGGCTAATACTTAGAAACATAAGCACTTAAAGAATTTTATTTGTATCTGTCGTGGATATTATTTCAGATATTTTGTAATAATAAAATGTTAACAGATATTTTATAATAATAAAATTTTATATATAAAATAATAAAAGATATTTTATATTAATTTTGTTTAAAAATGCTTTTCTTTAAATTCTATTTTAACTGTATACAATACCGCGCATGCGCAGTCGACCCATGTCAATAGTGACGTATAAACTTGTTACATATTTCGTTACACGTTTCAAAATAATTTGTTGGTTAGATTATGTTACATATAAGACATGATTTAAATAGTCATTCGTCTTTTTATTATGCATTTTTAAACAATTTGTCGAAGAGTCTATCGCTAGAACCCCGCTTCACGCATACACGACTTTCGCCCGCGAGACGGGCATCGAAAGGGCCCACGAGTATGGTGGGGAGATGCGAAAATCACGATGGTAGAAGAGTAAGGGATCATTGGCGTAACTAGAATTTTTATCTGGTATCTTAGTTTTATTGACACTCTTCCAGAAAAATATACAGGTTATTTTTTTGTACAAAATATTTACTGTTTGTATTTAATATAAATTTTTGTTAATTGCTAGTACACCCTCATTCTACGTCTTAACAGTGGAGGGGTCCGAATGTCGCGTGGGGCCCACCCTGGTCCCTACTCAGTTACGCCAATGGTGGGGGCAAGAAAAACGACTCGAGAAAGGGAGGCACCGAGGGAAGGAGCGAGAAAGAGAGAAAAAACGACATCCATTGAGAATTACGGTATTCGCCGAGTAGAGGAACGAGCTAACCGAGAGTCTGGAGGGGCTCATTAGAAACTCGAAGCAGCGGCTCTCGCGGTAATATTATTTCCTCGTTGGAACGCGAGGGCTAAGGCCGATCAAATGCCGGGTACCGTTCGGGAAAAGATCGAAGTCCGCTCCAATTTCAACGTGCACCGACGCCAGCGCCCCGTTACGATCTCACGTCCAGAGAACTCGTCCAACCACCATCGAGAAGAGGGAAAAGGAAAACTCCGTCGACCCACTCCCTTTTGCGCGTTTTCCAGCTGTCCGACCTTTACAAACGACCAGTTATCCTCCACGAGGAATTCTGACCTCGTAACGGAATGACTGTACGACACGTGATGACGCTTTGGCGGGAGGAAGGGAGAATTTGAATTCGATATCGCGTCAGATCAAACTTCGACTTTTGCAAGATCGTGAAAGATTATTTTGAAATTCATGAATGAATACGCTTTGTATGGTGATACGTGTATAAATACTTTTTCTTTAATCGGAATTATTTATACTTGAATTAGGGCATGACGTCATTGATATATGGTACAAACACTGAACTAATGTATAAATATTTTTGAAGCTGTATTGTTGACCAAAAAAATATCGAGATGCGTTTAAAAGGCATCTTCAATAAAACATTAAGGCTTTTGACGAAGGAGTGACATAAATCACGTTTACAATGCGTCATTCGAAAACAAGTACAAGGAAAGATTTCTGAAAGATAAAACTCGATGCGAATGAAATGACAATCGGTAAGACTTAATAAAAGAAGAAAATTTAATTTCTTAAATAAAAGAAGAAAAGAGCATCAATTTTTTTAAACAATCAGCGCATTCATATTAAAATAGATGTAGCAAGTATTATGAGGCTAATAGGTTATCTCGACAAAGGTAGAGGATAATCGATCGATCGAGTCAGCAAAGAATTCTTTCTTCGTGACGGAAGAAAGGCTTAAAGGAGCAAGGACTCGCGGTACGCATTTTTTTCTTTCAAGCATCGAAACGGATCACTGGATCCCTTGTATGAAATGTCCCACGTGACCCGTCGACCTTAGCGCGCGTAAACTTTCTGTTTGTCCAGGGAATCTTGAGGACGATAAACAAACCCGAAACCTAATTTCTAGTTCGCAGTTTTTTCTGCGTGTCTCATCAAACGTTCACAATTTTTGTTCGGATATACGTTTGCTACCACGAACGTATACGATAATATACCGTTCGAAAAATACGAGTGACAAGTGATCGATCGATTGAAATAATAATGACAAAGTTCCAATGCACATACCTTTTCTGCGTGTGTACGAAGCTTATCCAAAACGGCAAAGCACCTGGCGAATCCGCGACAACACTGGATTAAACACTTTCCAAGCACTCAGAATCCACCAAAAAAGCACACTCAGTCTTCGTCTTTTTATACGCGGTTGATAAACACACGCGACACACAATACGGACGGAGAAACGCACGCGTTTTAAGTTCGTTCTGGCGGTAGCGTGTCAACGCGAACCGTACCGAGATCTGCGCCAATGCGTTTACGGCTTCAAACTCCAAGCGGTTCTTCGTCTTTGCTCCCTCCGCCCTTCACCGCGGCCGAGTTACGACTGAACATCATAACCCCCTCTACACCGAGCGAGCTCCCGTCGGTCACTGGGCGCCAACCAGCCAATCACCGCCATCTGTGGACAATCGAATATACTACATTTCACAGTTGTTGAAATTGTTTTTAAATTTTATTTAATGTTTTTATTTCTACAATTATATAATATAAAAGAATGTAAGAGGATTTATAAATTATATTTTATTATAAAAAAAAATTACTGAAACGTATTACAGCGACATCTATATATGTATATCGATTGAGTTCATGTATCGATTAATGGTATGTCAGCGTGTTGATGATAATCCTCATGAATCAATAATGATCTTTATCCTGTATATACCACGTTCATAGTGTTCATGGAGCGAATCTAACCTATTTAGCAAATAATATTAAACACAAATTGTAATATAAATGTTAATTTAAAATGTCTGAGATAGAAATATTGAGTAGTGTTATATCTACTATTGATAATAATACTAAAAAGCCGGAAGAATTTCTTAAGTAAGTATTTTCTAAATTTTTATTTGTATAACCTATTCTAGTAATATTTGTTTAAAAGACTTAGTGTTTATTTTTGTCAATAATTTTCTGTATTATTAATGTTTTAGTGTACAAAATGAAGTTGCTTTGAATTTTAAAGATTCTGTAAAACGTTTGTATGATTTTACAAAAGAACAGTCTAAAAGGAACACGAATGCTTTACCTGAACTTGTAACGGAAGGTTTTGATGAAGAACAGATTTGGCAACAGCTTGAATTACAAAATGAAGGAGAACTTGAACATTTCATTAGTGGTATCTCAAAGGTTTTGGCTGGGAATAAAAAGTTAACAATACCAGTGAGTACAACTAAACCAGAAATTGAGCAAAGCAGCGAGGAAAATGAAATGGAGAATGAAGAAAACGATGAAGAAAATATTACGGAAGAAGGGAGTTCAGAAGAGGATGATGTAGAAATGAAAAGTATTTTACAGACACGAAAGAAAGATGTCCGAAAAAATAAAAAAAAACCATCCATAGTAGATGATAAATTTTTTAAGTTGCAAGAATTGGATGAGTATTTGACTAAAGAAGAGAAGAAAGAGACACAAAATGACAAGAACAAAGATGAATCTGATGATCAGTCAGATGATGAATCAGTAGATTTATTTAATGACTACTCTGATGAGGATGAGAAAACTGAAGAAGGGAAATTATTGAAGTATGCAGATTTCTTTGACAGTCCACAAAGCGAAAATGAGGAGCATAATGATTCTGTACATAAGGATACAGATGATGATAAATCATTACAAGACAGTGATTTAGATAATGAAATGGACATAGACAGTGAAGCAGAGAATGACAAAACCTCTAAGAAAAAGGTCACATTTAATCTGACAAATGATTCTGATGAAACAGATAGCTTAGATAACAAAAATGTAAGCACGAAGGAAGATAATGAAAATAAATCAACCTTTGAAACTCGTCAGGAAAGGTTAAAGGAAAGGATCCAAAAATTAGAGGAGCAGGCTCTTGCAAAGAAAGCTTGGCAGCTTCAGGGTGAAGTAAGTGCAGCAAACAGACCACAAAACTCTCTGTTAGAAGAATTCGTAGAATTTGATATTACAACCCGGCCAGCACCTGTAATTACTGAAAAAACTACAGTGAAATTAGAAGACATAATTAGACAAAGAATAAAAGACAAGGCTTGGGATGATGTTGAGAAGAAATTCAAACCGGTTGAAACTCCATTAGAATATAAGAAGAAATTGATTTTGGACCAAGAAAAAAGTAAACAAAGTTTGTCTGAGATTTATGAAAATGAATATCTCAAACAAAAGGAAGCATTGAATCCAGACAATAATGAGAAAGAAGAAGAAGAACCAAAATCACATATTGAAATTAGAGAATTAATGCATTCTTTATTCATTAAGTTAGATGCCTTATCCAACTTCCATTACATACCAAAACCAGTAAGATATTCACAGATATTCTTCTTAATTTTACAACACAGGATTTTATTAATTTTATATACTTATTTTAGGCTAAACCAGAGATTAAAATTATCAGTAATATTCCTGCAATTAATATGGAGGAAGTTGCTCCAGTAGGGATGAGTGATGCTGCCCTATTAGCTCCAGAAGAAATTAAAGGTGTCTATTTTTTAATAATTTGCAAATTTTTCAAATACAAACATATAAATCTTATTATTTTTTTTACAGCTAAACCACGAGGTGATCTCATCGGTAAAGCAGAAAGAACCAAGACAGACATGAAGCGCGAACGAAGACGCAAGAAGATGAAGCAACGTGCACGACAACAGGCTATAGAAAAGAAGGAGAAACTGAACGCATTGAAACCAGGAATTGCTAAGAAAAAGAAGAAGGATGAAGAGTTAGTGAAAAAGTTGACTAAGAATCGCAATGTGATAACGATGGACGAAACAAATTACAAAGCTCCAAAATCGTCCACTGCATTCTTCAACCAATTACAAGATCAAGTGAAAAGTCACATCAAAGCAAAGACTGATACTGATAAAAAGAAGAAACAGAAGAATAATTTGTCTGCTGTTAAGCTAAAGTTGTAATTTTTATATGAATTTATTTAAATACAAAAATATGTTGTATTGTTTATACTCATGTTGTTTGCAATCTCCCTTCATTTTTTTTTTAGTTACAACAAAAAAATAATATCAAACGATAGAGGATGAAGGATCATAAAATAATTCACAGATATGTTTCGAAGTTTAATCAATTATTTGCATATACATATTGATGCCTTCGTCGACTTCAATATGTTAATTATTGTCAGTATCGTAGCTACTTTCGACACAGGATGATTAAAAAGAATTATACGTGTAATGTAAACTTTCATATATTAGTGACAAATGTTCCCAATTCATCATGATATGCTGCAATTATTTTTCTTTTCATCGATCTACTTAATAAGAATTTGCTAGACATGTACATCTACAATGCATTAAATCACACGTGGTTACTTATAAATGCAACTATATTCATATGTGTAACATTATCTATATTTTTCCTTTTTAGAAATGTCTAAAAATGGTGTTGCTTTGCGCAGAGAAGCAAAAAGTGGATTACACATAATTTTGTACATCATGTTGCGTTTAAACAATTCATTCCCATTTCGATGACGACCTTTCACGATTGCACTATTTATAATTACAAAGACCTAAATTAAAATAATTAAGCTAACCTTAAAAATCTAACGATAAGTTTGTATTAAAATTACCGCGATTCTTGTAAATTTGATCGAGAAATTTTAAAAATATTTTTCTTTCCTTATCGTTTAGAATGCATCTCTTTTCATCTCGAAGTGTTCATTCCTTTGAAAAACAAAATTCGCTACTACGTAAAAAGAAAATTACATCCTATTACTTATTAATGTAAGCACAGATAAGGCGTCCGAATTCTATAAAAATGTAAAGTGGTAATAATCGTACAAAATACATGCAGTCCGATAAATGTGTTTGAAAAACCTTACTGAAGCGTCGTTTTCATGAAGAATTACAAATCTTACACGCATCTTTTTTCGTCCAAAAATTTTATACATATACTTACATCAATTAACAATAGCTCAATGAAATCCTATGCCTCTCTATATCTTATAGTTTTTGACCGCCATGTACAATTTAAAATATAACTTATCCCTACAACAGCATGTTTTAGAACAGCGAGGAAAGTTCGAAATTCGATTTTTATTTTACAATGCGTATCTCTTTTTTTCAATTGTCTTATATTCTAAAATCAGGCTAATGAAAACAAATGATAAATGAAAAGTGATATGATCAGAGTCATAGTTACATTTTAGAAACAATGTAATGACGATGGATGCACTTAAATGTATTTATAATAAGTTTGAGCGATTGGACTAAATTAAGAAACTGAGATGTCTGAAGCCTATGTGCTTAAATCGGGATACATAGGAAGAGAAAGAGTGCTTTGGAAGACAAGTCAAAGTGTAGAAAGCGATTGGGAAAAAATTAAGGAGCCAAAGTGACAAAGTTATAAAGAGTATAGAGAGTAACGAGCCAATTGTGAGCTATTGTGAGCGATCGTGAGTTGAGAGAATACTGTGAGATTGTGTGTAAGACATACTATATAGATAAACTTTTATAGAATAAAATCTTATCCTTATCATTTTACTCGAACCCGGCACGTGGGACTTACATTGTTATTTCAAATAATCCCTACACAATTAAATTAAATGCTCAAATAAAAGTGCGGCTTACGATACTCGGAACAATCTCGGGACTCTACCAATGATTCGAACCTTAAAGCTTTCTTAAGGTAGATGTTTATCAGGCATACTATTTCCTCGTCGCTACTCGAAATTAGTATTAAACATATTTAGTTCTTCAAAACCAGATGCACCACCTTGATCTTGTAGCATCTGCAACATATCTGACAGTTCTTGGGGTTGCGTTCCGGGTCCACCTTGAGAAGGGTGGGGTGGGGGTGCCTGTCCAGCGACTTGGGGATTCGATTGTCCATCGTCTTGCTGAGGTGCTTGATGCTGCTGACTCTGCCATCCCCACATGCCTGAAGAGAAATATTATGAATCTGTGTACTACAAATATATCAGTTCATACATCAAAGATATTTACCAGGGTTATTAGGTACTGTTGTGACTGCATGGTACTGGGTAGCAGGTGTCCTAGCGCCGCTACTTAATTGAGTATAAGTTGGTCCATTCGGTGACCTCGATGGACTCAGCTGATTGTACTGATAGCCTTCTGTTACCGGTTGCTAAACAAAAACAACAGTAGTAAAGCTATTGTTAATAAATAGTGAACATTATAGTTTACCTGTCTTCCAATCGCCCACGCCTGTTGTACGGGGGTTGGAGATGTGTTGGCTGGCTTTTGAATTCTACTTAAAACTGAAGAGGACGCGCTTTGCTGTCCAGGTGAGCCATAAGCTATCGGTGATTGCGTCGTTTCATATCCTTGATAAACGTTTTGCGTACTAGACGGCCTAGGTTGTTGAGGACCTATGAACAAAAACAAGTATTAACTTTTGTTCAAGCGTTTTATGTATCTTATTTTGATAGGATTTTACCAGCTGTAGCGACAGCTGCTGGGTGTTGCATCATGTGATGCCCAGAGTATAAAGGATCCCTGGCAGGATGTCTCTGAAGGGAATAATCTAAACCAGGTTGTCCATAAGCAGGTACAGCTTCACATTCCGTCTGACCATCGCTACCAGGATGGAATGACCTTAAAAATCCCAGAATAGATTAGCACAAAGCGAAGCAAATAAAACAATGTAGGTGTTGAGCGATTCATACTTGGAGTGTGTGTTTGTGCAGACGATGTATTCAACTTCGTCGTTGAAGGGGTTTAAGAATGCAAATGCGGACGTCCTTAACCACACCCAGTCGCGATTTTTGGCTCGAAATCTGTACATCACGGAGACTACTTGTCCTTTCATCTTCAGCACTGGAAAGGAAGAATATTCATTAGCAACAATGAACGCGTGCATCGATGCTTTTTGTGTGACTCTTACCTTGCTCGAAACTTTCTCGCATGTGCGTCAAATCCTCTGGGTGAAAGAATTCGTAGCACGGATGACCTAAGAGTTCCGAAGGTGTGTACCCTAGAATTCCACCCACTCTTTGGTCCACGAAGGTAAATTTACCTTCTGCAGAATGACGGGAAATAAATTCTGTAACATCAAACTGAATTAGTAAAATGATCAAACAGTTAAGTCTTAAGTAAACGAAGAATGCCTACCATTATTGCTATTGGAACCCGCTAAATCACTACTATTTGGTGTGCTAGTGACCTGTAATCGCCCAATGGCAACCAGGCAGCAATGAGTGCTGACATTCTCGTCTGAGACCACACCATCTGGTCCCACTTGAACATTGGCAGCCTCTCTGTCAGCTAGACCCACACCTGGTACACATGGGGGAACAAAATCACCTACAGCGTAAAATGATGAGTCAGTCCATGGTTCCTCATAATCCACTGATTATGATTTACATGCTGCTAAACAATACCGTACTTGTGACATTTAGGCTGGACAGAATTACCCAAACAAATGAAACAATGTTGGTATGTAGAACCTCATGGATGACGTTTCATTTGCTTTCTGTCTAGCCTACCTTTGCAAACTATAATGTAAAAATGAAACGTGTGTTATAGTGAAATATATTTTTACAGATTCCAATATCCCTAGATCTCTGTATTCCTAGATTTCTAGATTCTTTCTGTACCCTTAGATCTATAATAGAGAACTATACCAAGATTCCTACATTTATAGATAGACCCAGAGGTCTAATCGAATCTTTGACTTATAAGATCCCCATATTGCTAAATGGTCGAAGGCGGAAACGCGCGAAAATCGTCGCGCGTCCCTTTTATTATGCATCGAGGATCACGATAAAGCATACAAATCCCGCATCAGACCGTCTCGACATAGTTTATCGGTATTCCAACCGGTCTGTCGGCTGTTAGGTCAAGACGATTCCATTCATTCTTATAAACCGATCATACTATCCGTCCTGCTGAACGTCTACGGCCGCGGCCTCTTAATTTATAGTACAAACGTCGCTATCCCCGTATTCTACGAAGCCGCCGGTTCGTTCATATTCCTGCTGCACAACCGTCTCCCTCGCTTTAAAATAGAAAGTTGGCGCTATGTCGCGCGGTCGACCCGTTATGTCGGATCACAGACGAAACATTGGAACCCGTACCAAACTCACCGTTCGGGGGCCAGCTCTTGATATAGCCTGTACAATGAACCACGGCGTAATTTTGGCCATCTCTGGCCGGTGGTCCCAGAGAGTTCCTCTGCTTCATACGATGCAAACCATGAGCGGCGGCCATGTCACCCGTCGTTTGCAGATTTCCTACCTTCATGCGACAGATGAAGCCTCTTCTGGAGCCCATACATAGTCTCATCGACGCTGTAAACAAGATATCTGTTAGATGACTGAAGTTTAGATTGGCTTATTTAATATTTAGATTTATTCGGACAAGTTCTTAAGGGATGCTTAAGAGTAGAATTGTGTTAAAGTGAAACATAGATGCTTTTAAATTCTTTAGTGATCTTGCAATGGTGTCTGCATAATGTGAAACGAAGTACAAAGTCTACTCACACTGTCCTTCTTTTTTGACCGTCCCCGTCTTGAGGTCCAGCACTCTGCCTCCGTTCTGAGGCTCCGCGCCGCTCAATTGTTCCCTCACTTTTTCAGTGTCGTCCGGATGGACTTGAGAGTACAAACTGGTGCCGTACCAGTCGTTCTGAGTGTAATTCAGAACAGGTGCCACAGAGTCGGATACATAGATGATCCTTCCGGTGTCGCAGCTGACGACGAACAGGAATCCGTCGGCCGCCTCCAGGATCAGATGCTTCAACTCCTGGTCGGTGAGGAAGGAGGGTTTGTAGGCACCGTCCGGGCTCGTGTTCCCTGTACCTGTAATCGTATAACTTTTATGTTGTATTTTCTGTAATTTCTTTATACTGCATATGTTATTTTGGCAGCGGTCTTTTTGCTCTCGTCCGGACAGACTTTTTACGTGACGTTCGATGTAAATGGCTTGGGACGATTGAAGGATCTCGCTGGTTGGTCGACGTCCAGGTGCACGTGTAACGAGCAACACTTTTCAGACGAATGCTTGTCGGTGATACGTGCTACTACTTTTCTACGTGTGGATTTCGAAGGAATTTTGAAATGGAATTATTCTGGAGGGCCATAAGACGAAAATAAGAAGACAGAGTAAAATTAAGGAGAAAGTGTCGATTCGGAAAAGGAGAGAAAAAGAGCAGGAGTTACCGAACACCACGGTACCAAAAACGAGGACGGTGCAACTCGGCAGCGTAGGTAACTATCGAGGTGCAAGATCGGAATTGCAAAGCGGACAGGATCCGAGCGAGCTGAGGCAGAATGAGATAGGGAGAGACGAGGAGAGACAGAGAGGGTCGCGATGCGATCTTTACCCCGATATACCAAGGAATTCCGGGAAGAGGTACTTTAACGACTTCCAAACAAGATCTATGGAAGACCCCGGGTGACCTTCGTTACCATTACCTTCCACGTAGAGGAACCTTCGATGGACATTAATGCTGCAACCATTCCTCTAGCTACCCTCCTCCGATAACGATGACTCGGGGCAATCTTGCCACGCTTTTAATCTGGATCTATGTAATACACCGTCGTACCGTTCCGACAATGTAAATCATAGCCATCGCGATTCAATGATAGGACTCTGCTTTTCACTCGGGACATTTCGATAACCTATTCTTTGCCGTACGACTTCATTCTCTACACTGCTCTTATACATTTCTGTGCACCGAACATTTGTACAGAATCGAACATTTCTGATATTCTAATTTGACAAAATTTTTATTGAAATTCCAAGTTAATGAAACAGTAACGCTAGCACCCTGTAAGAAAGAATGAAAAGAAGCGGATCGTTTGATGAAAAATCCAGTGTCCCACGGGTGCACAGCGTAGGAGGGTGTAGCGCAAACGAGGCTCGACGTATCCCGGAGGTGACAGCCTCTCCTCTCCTCCGGTCAGGTAAGACAGAGGAGAGACCTCTCCGGTTCGAGCAATTTGTATTCAGCGGCCCTCTTGTCGGGAAAGAGGAGAAGTGGCTATAAACAATGCGACGCACCACCAATACTTAGCTGGAATCACGGCACGCACACGGACTCAAAGAGAAGGGGAGTCCCGGTGTTCGCGATGTGGACGGTGCAAGAGTGTGCGAGCACGCAGTGCACCAGGGGACCGGGGCTAAAGGGACAGCCGACGTACGGGGCAGCAACTCCACCCATCTTTGCACCGGAAGCATATATCGCGCTTTCTGCATTCGATATGACCCAGCCAACGACGAAACCTTCGGTGAATTACGACCGGAACGGTACGCAACAGTTACCGCAGCATGAATTTTCGTTGGCGATGACGAGAGGCTTCCTCATCCCTTCGGACGAACTGAGTTACGTCTTAGAGGCAATGCCATGTGATGCAGAAATTTTTGGACGCATTTTGGGATGTGATGAGATATGGAAGTTTGCGAATTTGTGGATTTGGGTGCTTAGGTTTACTTAGGTCTAGAGTTCTGGGTTTTGATCATCTGGAGACTTAGGTATGTGGAGACTTGGGTACTGTCTTGACATGAGGAGTTAGGTCTAAACCAAATACTTCACAGTCAGACCAGAAGTTCAGAGATCGAGGCCTAAAGAAGAATTATCATAAGCAGCTATCCAAAATACCCTAATCTATGTATATGAAGTCGATGGACCTCAAATAACAATATGATTATCATAAAATAATCGTTCCCACATTTCCCACATCAGTCTCCGCTTCATTTACAAATGACAAAGTAAATATTTTTAGCAGCAAGTTATGAAGCTGAGACGTTAATTAGCATGAAAATATACGTTTCCAACGTAGTTGTCCGATAAGGCACAAAGTAGTTCAATGCGGGACGTGACGATTAAGCTTCGTGGATGTTTGAGTTATCCGGCACGAGCAGCAAAATAACTTTGGCAACGCGATCTTGAAGCTTTGACTCGGTCCGATTGAATTACGCTCCGTAAAGCTTACTCGATTTCGCGCGACTATCGATATATAAGATTAAAAATAACGTGTTCCCCCATCTGGGACCTCATTTTCGAAGTATTATTTTCCATCAATTTAATAAAAGTCAATAAATCTAAGATGCAATTAGTGTATCAGTAACTTCAATTCATACTTAATGACACACTGGGTGCGTCATTATTTTGAAATGACATTAAATGACACACTAGGTGCGTCATCGACTTGAACGGATATTCAATGACACACCTGGTGCGTCATCGACTTGAACGGATATTAAATGACACACAGGTGCGTCATCGACTTGAACGGATATTAAATGACACACCAGGTGCGTCATGATTTTGACTGGTCTTACATGACTCACTAGGTGCGTCATTACTTTGACTGGTTTTACCTGACACACCAGGTGCGTCATGATTTTGACCGGTTTTACCTGACACACCAGGTGCGTCCTTACTTTGACTAATCCTACATGACTCACCAGGTGCGTCATTATTTTGACTAGTCTTACATGACTCACCAGGAGCGTCATTTCTTTGACTGGTTTTACCTGACACACCAGGTGCGTCATTACTTTGACTAGTATTATATGACACACTAGGTGCGTCACCGATTTGAATTGATATTACATGACACAGCAGGTGCGTCTCAGAGTTGAACCAATACGGAACGACACAATAGGTGCGTCCTTAACTTGAATCAACATTAAGTGACACACCTGGTGTGTCAACATGAAACAGTACTGAGTGACACACCAGGTGCGTCGTGAATCGATATGACACACCAGGTGCGTCACAGTAAATCAGGGTTCATATGACACACTAGGTGCGTCATTAATTTTGATGGGAATTGAATAATACATCAAGTGTGTATAGGTATTGACTGACTCACCTGTTGCGTCATGGGTTTTGAGTATGTAGGAGGGGCTATAGTAAAAATTATTTTTGTGATAGAAGAATGGACTCACCTCTGAGGGCTCTCATGTGAGCAACAGCCATCCTGAGTATCGTCAATTTGTCGGGTTTCCTCGCAAGGGCCGAACACGTGGGTACCATGTCCGAAAGTTCGGTGATATAGGCCGTCATCTTGTTCCGCCGCCGCCGCTCGATTTCGCAATGATTCTCCCTGCAGTTAGACGCAAGACAAAACCAAGGTAATTGCATAGTTCAAGCTTAAACTTTTGGTGAAAAATGCGTCTGATCATTTACATGATTGTTGAGTAATATAAAGAGGGCTCTAAAATCCTAAACCAAGGATGGATGGTCTTTTCATAGACACTAGTTCGTCACCCTTCTAATAAAGCATCAAATGTATCAAAGTAAAAATGTGAGAAGTTTGGTCAATTACAGAATTGTTTTTGTGTTAAGAAGGCCGATAAAGTCGATCAAATCTACTTAGCCCGCAATCCTCTTCAAGGAACAATTACATAAAAGCTGACGTTCACAGCGTTGCCGTTAAGAACGATCTGAAGAAGTAATAAGCGTAAGATAATTGACTCGGTACCAATGGTATCGAGGTTCGAACAAGTTTCCCGCGGATTCGCCGACGGGACGGTGATTTTCTATCTGGCGACGTCATTCATAAGGGTTGTTCGTGATCAATGTAGCCAATAAATTGTGAAACGATGCATCATCGTCGAGGGATATCGGGTGAAACCACAATTTCCAGCGTCCCCTGTTATTACGCTACCAGAGGGTAACTGCCGCTAGTAACGGCGCACGTCTCTTCGCGTTCGAGCTGGTAATTGTCGGCGGGCAATCGTAAATTTAATGGCATTTAATTCCTGATAATTTCGCGAACGAAACTTCGATCGGCCGCCTCACGCGATGCTTTAGAAATTTCCCCGGTGATAATGTATGCACGCATCCTTGCCACCGGGGATATTATTTCTTAATCATTCGTGAACCTTGACATTGCACGAGGATCGTGCTCTTTCAATTTTATTGTAGTTAGGGATCTAGTTGATTTTAGACGATTTGTAACCGTTTTGGCATGCTGTTTACTTTTGCTGGGATTATTGGGAGCAATGAGATGTTAATTCCGACGGTATTTGCGTGTGTAATAGTGCTGAGGCAATATAACGGGAGTGACAAGGCGTGGCTATAGAACGCGAAAAACTATTCTTAGTTACTACTCGAATTTAACGTGCGACGAGTACAATGCGTGTAGAATTCAATGGAGATCGAGTTTAACGCGCGTTGAATTTAACGCGTGCGAATACAACGCGTGTGGAACACAACGTGCGTCGAATTCAACGTTCACCGAACTCAACATAGATTGAGTTTAATACGCGTTAAATTTTATGCGAATACAATGCACGTCAAGTTTAACGCACGTCGAGTTCAACGCACGTTAAAATTAACGCATGTCGAGTTTAACGCACGTCAAGTTCAACACGCGTTGAGTTCAACTCACGTCGAATTTAATGCACGTCAAATTCAATACACGTCGAGTTCAACGCACGTCGAATTTAACGCACGCCGAATTCAACGCATAGCAAGTTTAACGCACGTCAAGTTCAACACATGTTAAGTTCAACGCTCGACGAATTTAACGCACGTCGAGTTCAACGCACAGCAAGTTTAACGCACGTCGAGTTTAGCGCACGTCGAGTTCGACGCACGTCAAGTTCAACACACTTCGAGTTCAACTCACGTCGAGTTTAATGCACATCAAGTTCAACGCACGTCGAGCTCAAAGCACGTCAAATTCAACGTACGTCAAATTCGACGCACGTCAAATTCAATGCACGTTAAGTTCAACACTCGACAAATTAAATGCACGTCACGTTCAACGCAAGTCGAGTTTAACGTACGTCAAGTTCGACGCATGTCGAATTCAGCGTGAGGTCAATACGACGTCCGTCGAAAATAACGCAAGTAGATAGACTTTGTGGCAATAGGATGACAAACATATTAAACTATAAAAATTTGTGAGACAATAATAAAAATGTATTAATATAATTTGCACGAGAACTTAGTGATTTCATAAACAATAATAAATTGAACCATCAGTCCCACAGATAAAATCGAATACCTTGGTATCTACAGGGACACGGAATGAAAGTCGGGGATCTGAAGGTAGAATAAGTACAAGGTAATAGTTCCTGATGGACCTGGAACGAGATGGAGGTCTTATCTTGGAGGTAGACACAAAAGAAGGTTCTCCTTCTCGAACAGAGCGGTATCCAAGTCAGGAGAGAAACAACCCGGATACCAAGATCAGACAAACAGATAAAAGAACGAAATTGCAATTATTATAAAGTAAATTTTATGTTAATCTGTCGGTGGTTATTTGAGATGACTGTTGGTTTAAATTTGCACGAGAAGAACCACATTCACTGTTCGGCTTAAGGAAACAATTTCAAGTATTTTGCAACTAAATTTATAAATGTGATGTTGTCATGAAAATTAACGAGAATTAATAATAGAGAAACAACTCGAATTCATCAAATATTTTAGCTAAGTTCGTATCCCAACAGCAAATACACCTACGAGACTTTATAAATTCCCATTACCCAGAATAAAATATGGACTAGAAATAAAAATGAAGGAGGTTGAAATATTACTTGAAATCAATTTACGGGCTAATATCTCCATGTCGTGAACGTTGACCTCTCGTAAAGTTCCGCGTCCAGGACGTCCACCCCGTCTGAAATGCGGTGACCCCGTCCAAGAAAAATCATTCTCCATTTTGTTCCACGGGGAAAAGTCCGGTGAAAGCGTCGTTAACGTAACGTAATTAGTTTGGAATGTCGTCGACATCAAGCAAACCCGCAATCAAGGAATATGCATTATGGGACTCGTGCTTATGAGCTGAATGGTATCAATTAAAAAATTATTGAATTTTTCGATGGAGTCAGTCTATGTATGATGTTTGATGTGAACGTAGTGAAGATTATAAAATTGTTGTATGTAGTAATTATTGGTAGTTAATTGGGTGATTCATTTTGGTCTCAAGGTCAGAAGGTAGAATTTGAGATCAGAAGTTTTGGACAAGGTAGAAACTTCAAGGTTTAGGTAAAAGTAGATGGCAGCTGAGAGTTGTAAGATGAGCTGAGAGTTTGGACTGTGGAAGTCATTTTAGCTTGCAAGCTTCAAGGTTAGATTAATTTGGGTAACTTAACAATTTGAAGAACAAGTGGTCTTCCTATTAAAATTACAGTTCGAATGAAGTTCAGAACAAAGCAGAGTTATCAATTTTCCAGACCTTAAAATTACGCTAAAAGCGAGCCTCCACCCTCAGATTTCCCTGTCTGAGCTCCCTCGGTATCTCCTCTTAATAATAACCCGAATCCCGAAGTGAAGGTAATCAGAAGCGAAGTTGCAGTATGCAGCGAAGTCCCAAAAGGAGCAAGAATGGGATAACCATGGCTGAAGCGGACAGGACCTTTCATTTGGTTGGAAGTCGAAGGGAATCGGTAACGTTCCTCGACGACGTAGGCCAGAGCGGAGGGCCGCTATTTAAAAGAGGCCAGGGCGCTTAAAGCGCAAGTATAAAGCAGGGTATGTACCGTGCAAGACGGTAGAGGAACATGAGGAGAAAGGGGCAGAAGAGGAACGCGATCCAACAAGCAGGATAGAGAGAACTCCTGGGTCAAGGGTCAGACGTTCCGAAGTTGCCCGCTCGGCTCTGTGGGTCCAGCAAACTATATACTGGGTGTTCTCGTTCGATATCGATCATTTCTCGAGCTTCGTTACATTTACAATGTACTTTCTTTCTTCTCAAATTAATTGTATGACTTTCAGGATTAGAATGTTGGTTCAATGCAATATTTGATCAGGATTAGAATGTGGGTTCATAGAAATATTTACAGATGTTCATGTAGAGATAATTTCTTAATGACTTTTGTAACATTGCGAGACTTATTTCTAACCAACTAGTGGTCGGAGACATTAGTATTAAACTGAAAACCTTTTTAAAGTTGTTCTTCCGAGGGTTCGTGTTTTATAGGTTTTCCACTTGAATTTATATTAAATGACACACCAGCTGCGTCATCGTCTTGAATTTATCCTAAATGACACACCAGGTGCGTCATTGACTTGAATTGCTATTTAAGCGACGCACTATGTGCGTCATTAATTTGACTGCTATCAAATGACACACCAGGTGCGTCATCGACTTGCATTGGTATTTAAGTGACGCACCAGGTGCGTCATTACTTTGACTGGTATTTAACTGACGCACCAGGTGTGTCATTACTTTGACTAGTATTTAAGTGACGCACTTGGTGTGTCATAACTTTGATTGGTATTTAAGTGACGCATTAGGTGCGTCATTAATTTGACTGGTATTTAAGTGACGCACCAGGTGTGTCATTACTTTGACTGGTATTTAACTGACGCATCAGGTGTGTCATTACTTTGACTAGTATTTAAGTGACGCACTTGGTGTGTCATAACTTCGACTGGTATTTAAGTGACGCATTAGGTGCGTCATTGATTTGACTAGTATTTAACTGACGCACCAGGTGTGTCATTACTTTGACTGGTACTAAATGACGCACCAGGTGTGTCATTACTTTGACTGGTAGTAAATGACGCACCATGTGCGTCGCCGACTTGAATGGTATTTGAGTGACGCACCGGGTGCGTCGTTACTTTGACTGGTACTAAATGACACATTAGGTGCGTCATCGATTTGAACTGACATTAAATGACACACTGAGTGCGTCATTACTTTGACTGCTATTAAGTGACACACCAGATGCGTCATTAACTTGAATTATTAATAGATAATATTCATAGATATCTAATTTAGTTATGAAAGTACCATAAAGAATTTTCAGACCACGAAACATATCGAACATGGCCATCTAAGAAAATGAGCAAATTACAAAAGAAGAAAAGTGTAGCCAGTAAAAATCCGAGATGTATAATTTTTAAGATTCCCCGCGGTAAGAAGAAATAAAAATACGCATCTCCATGTCTATTACGGTATGGAGATAGGAGACCCACCGTGTACATCGAACCCCGCATTACGATGATACAAAGTCGGCACTGAAATACACGTACCGCACACATAAAATCGTTCTAAGGGGGAAAAAACGAGTTCTTCGGCATACATGCACACGCGAGCGAACACGTAGGAAAGGAGATCGGTCGAATCATCATCATCGATACGATTCG